TGTCTTTGCAATGGAATCAGCCAGCTGAGGGCAGATAGTCTGACAGAAGGATGCTTTATTCTCCCCCATGTCAGACAGACTCGATTCTGCCTGCTTCTGCCAGCCTGCCTGGCTGCTCTGCACCCCAGCCTCGCTAAAGAAGGGCTGGGGGAACAGGGAGGATGGGCCCTGAGTTCTGGTAGGTAGCACTGTGCTGTAGGTCTAGGAAGTACCTTCCTTGGTGAGCTCAAGATCCAGCAAGCTGTTTGGAGAGACAGGAGAGGCAGCAGCATTATGACTGCAGCGGGGATGCCGCCACGCTCTCCTTTCCCTTCCCAGTTTGGTTGTCTGGCTGTTGCCTGTGCGGTAGTAAGAGGATGAGGCTTTGGTACTGCTACATCTCATCTTTCACTGGGAAGATCTTCTGTAGCAGAGGCACAATTTACATTGTTGAAGTTGATTGAAGGTCTAAAATAACAAAGCTGACATTGGCTCCTGCAGTTGACCCTGCTGCTGTCAACAGAAACACAACAGAAGGGCAGTAGGAGATGGCAGTTGTCAGTGCAGACTGGGTACTCTGGCAGTAGATGTAAGAAGTAAAGTGACTTTCACTTCCGTGTGTGACTCATGCTTGTTTAATTGCTAATATATCAATAAAAGATCAAGTGTTGGATTAGTGTAAGTGCGCCAGCTCTTTAGATTTTCTGAGAGGCTTTCCTGGTTTGTCAGAGCAGTGTTGAAACTGTTGGGATTGAGGGAGTGGGAGAGTAATGGTCAATACTGGAATCTAGTTGCTCGTGCAGTTTGTAATCTAGTTTTAGCTCCAGTCTGTCTCTCAGACTCACTTTCTGCTTCCAGAATTCAATCTGATTTTTTCAGTATGAAACTGTGTGGAACATGTTAAACAGGACAGAGATTCATGAATAAAAATAACTTAGGTAACGGTGAAGTCCCGTCCCATCATACTATACAAAAGCAAATGATCTTTATGGAAATAGAGCAGGTTCAACCTTCTGAATTAGTTCTTCCATGGGTTCTATTCCCTTCATTCAAGACTATCAAGTCAACTAAGTAGTTCTGGAACTTACTGTTTCCATTCCTTTACGAGGTTTGTGTGTAGAATTTACTTGATCCAATCATTTTTACTGAGGGATTACAGGTAAAGGACTTGAAGGTCTAAGTGATTTTCCTGAACCTTGATACCAGGACAAAGTACTATTTTGGCAAGATGTTCATGTTTGATTTATATTTTAAATGACGATTAGTGTCTATTACCTGTACGGAAAGGAACGAAACTAACCTGCAATATTTTGTCAAGGCTTTTGGTCTGTGATGTGAAGGCACTTATGTTTCTGGGAAGTGATCCAGAAGCATGAGTCTGCACTGCTTGGAGTTTCCTGTTCTATATCATCACAGAGTGTGTTAAATAATTTAAGCAGAAAGCACCTGACGTATGGAAACAGACTCTGTAACTGGGCAGTTCTACAGTAGGTATGTTTATTGCGCGCAGATGCACGGGGGATCGCTCCACCACAAAGGTGCATACCCACAGTGGCAAATCGTTTCATAGTTATACCGTAAAACATGGCATACTTAACTGACACCTATACATATTCATTGCCTAACCCTGCTGTGTATTATAATTAGCCTCACTTCGTATTATAATTAGCTTGTCAGTCCCTTGCGCTCGCGCAGATCCTCCTGGTAATTGTGGGCAGGGGTCTTCGAGACGTGGGCGGTGGTCTCTGGGAGGAAGGCCGTATGTCCTCCTCACCATGTACTTTTCACCTCTCGTCTGGAATGTGGTGATTTGGCAAGTTTATAGTTTTGAGCCGGTTTTGGTCAGTTCTTGTCCTTGGTGAACATCTGCTCTCCCTTAGTAGTTGTGTTTTCTTCTGATAATTTTGTGAGAGATGTTACTTTGTGTTTCCTCTGTATGTGTTATTCTTTGTTAGTTCTCAATAGTCCCTTTCTCCCTGTTCTGCCAAGAGGTGCAGAATGCTTGGGAATTCTGACTTTTATGACCATTTTCTCAGATAAGTGTTGTTAGCTGTTTCGGATAGCAGATCAAAGAAGCAACTGCTTCTCTTCAAACACTTTTGCAGTGATCAGCAAGGCGATGAGTTTCTCAGTTCTTTGCTACTTTACACAAGTAGTTAGTTTTATAAATTTTCTCTATTTTATTTTAGTTATTCTTCATCAATACACAAATAGTTAGCTTTATAAGTTCTTTCTATTTTATGTTAGCTACCTTATATCACACCCATTCTCTACTTATCCTGGAACTTTGGTGATTATTAAACTCACTGATCTTAAACCCTTCTGTTTTCTGCAGGAGGAACACAAGATTTGCCTAGCTGCTTGCTGCAATACAAAATGTCAGCCAAAAAATGGGCACCACTCTGCAAAGGAATGATTCCTCAAGCTCCTGCTTTCTATCTTTCACAAATGACCTCTCCTTTTTTTTTTTTCTTTTTTTTCTTTTTTTTTTTCTTCCTTCTGGAAAATAACTTTTTAAGGGGAAATCTAAATATCATAGCTTTTCCTGGAGATATGGTTTACTGCATCCCATCGTAGGGCAAAAAGAAGGCAGAGATGCTTTATCTTCAGCATTACTTGCTTCAAGTTCTTTCCAGTGAACTACAAATGGTCAGAAATTTATAAACTGCCAGTCCATCAACCCCCAAACCAAACCTATAATGTAGGCACCTGATGTGATAAGAGGGGTTTCTTATGTTTTTTGGGCTTGGGATGGTGGAATTGGGTAGCCTGGTGTGCTGCCTGTACTCTCTTGGCATGCCACCCTGAGCATGTACGCTCAGACACACCTCCATCCCACCCTACAGAATGTATGTACCAGGTAGCATAATAATCTTTGAGTGACCACAGCCTCAGAGAGGAAACATATGGGTGATCCATGTTCACGTTCTTGCTTGCTGCAAATGCTCCAAGGTTTGGGATCTAATGCTCTCAGCAAGAGGAAAAATATCTGGGTTTTTTTTCAGAAACAAAATGCAAAAGTTTGAATTTGCCTCAGTGTGTACAGGGCATGTAAGGATACTGAAAGTTATTTAAGGATATTGAAAATCCTTAAAACTTCGGAAGTGGAGAAAAAACAGAGTGTCTTCAGATGCTGGGCTGTGTCAGACTGTAAATGTCCTTGTGGATTTTCCATGAAATCCTGGCACAAAACTCATTTTAGGACTCGAAGGAAATAAAGTGGATAACGATGGAACCAATAGACAGCCTGTCTTGGGCTTATCTGCATGTTTTAGCAAGCCTTTGTGGGTATGGCCAGAGGTCTTTAAGATGAGTAAGAGGAAGAAGTGATGGATTTCTTTTTCAGCCAGTCTTGCCCGTTTCTTCTGGGTGGTTGCACTTTAGAAAGTTGGTTGATAGAGCTGGCTGATGCTTCCCTACAAGCTTGGTTCCAGGTAATGCTGATTCTACACCATATATAAGCTTCTGTCAAAATAACCATTCTCTCTACAGTTTGAATGGAGACCAGGCAAGTTGATGAGCTGTTAGATCAGTGCTCAGCTTTCCAGCTGCCTTGCTGGCAGGCTTCCGAGCTTGCTGGACGGCAGAGTCCAAGTGTATCAGGTTCCTGGGAAAACAGTTTAAAAAACAGAAAAAATGTAATTTTGCATACCCTTCAAAGGGAATTGTCTGAGAATTTTCTTTCTCTAAGAAAGTAATCTTTTCCTCTTTAGCTTTTCATTACAGTTTGAAATGTGAAACACTTATATAGGGGAAATCTAGTTTTCCAAGCACCTCCTTGCAGAAGACCATGATTATCTTTTTGAAAAATCATTTCCAGTCTTTTTAATGGAGTATGTGGACAGAATGTACTAATTCCTGAAGAGTTTGTATAAAGCTTCAGATATATTCTAAGCTAGTGCTTGAAAGATCATCAAGAGCTAAGTGGTTCCTGTCAAAGAAAACCTATCTCTCAGGAGATTTAAATTTCCCATGACTTTTATGTTAGAGCCTTGGATTCCTGGGGTGTTCATTGGTTTTCTTCTGAGATAAGGGGAGGAGGTTCTACTAATGACTCTTCCGAATTGTTGTAGTTTAAACCCAGCCAGCAGCCAAGTGACAATGTACGATACATGAGAAGCTCGCTCTGTCTCTCTAAGTGTGGATTTGTTGCCTGAAAACCCACAAGTTTCACCTAGGGGACACTGTTTATAGTTGGTTGTTGGCAATAATCACATTCCACTAGTTACGGAAGGGTGGGTGACACACTGTGTATGCAGATTGCCTGGTATGCTTTTCTACTGAATGTTTGCTGAAGACGTGGGGCTCATAGCAGGCTTCATCATGCTATAATGAAAGAGTAGTCAATGTTCTGATTAAAATGATGGACTTGGAATTCAATCAACCACCTGTGTTTATATGCAAAACTCTTTGTCAGTCAGTATGCAAAACTTGGGCAGTGTTTTATAACTGTATGTCATGCTGCAGGATTTGAGACTGTCTTCCAAGACCTTTAGGTGTGTAAATGACACAACAGTAGTTTTAAGAGCTTCTTTTGGCAAAAAGAAACAATTTTGACAAGCCTTCAGAAACTAGGTGCTGTACAATTATCCATTTTGAAGATACTTTTCTTCGTGTGATACTTCCTTTACTGCAGTAGAAATCTCAAATAAAAACTGCTGCAGGCAGAGAAGTTGGTGCACTGTTCACTGTGGCGCTCCAGTTCCTTAGTGTTGTTGAGAACTTACAAGAGAGAAATATTATTTCCTGTTTTATCTGCAGGTTGTGGTTAACCCTAATTTCCTCATGGTAAATAGCACTAGGTTAGAACAATTTCTGCTTTATGTTGTTTCATGTTATTTGTTAGCAAGGTAACAAAGTCTTCTAACCAAGATTCAAAAATGAAGTCCCTTTCTTGTAATTTTGTATGTACATGCATCTGTTTTGTAATTAGGTCTGTAATTGGTCTTCCCGTGACCATATTAATGAAGCAGTAGAGACCAAAATAAGGAAGATCTGATCCCTCAAACCAAGGATTTGTCATGTCTTATCATTACAATGAAGCCTTTGAAAATCCAGACTACCACTTTGCAGAGACACTGGAGATTGATAGAAGGTAAATTTATTTAATTTTGCTGTTGTGACTGTGCCATAAGAAATTAAATTCTCTATATGCTGAAGAAACTTTTTCTCCATAGTTTTAATTAGTGAAATTCCTTTAATCTCTCCTTTATGTTTGCATTCTCAGACAGAAAATTTTAAAGCTGTTATAAGGAAGGCAGCATTCAAGAAAAATGGCATGTTTGCTCTTTACATGTTAGATGAATTTATCAATTAAATGTAGTTTTGGATTTATGACATAATGTCATGGATGTTTTCTAGTTCCAGTAATTTTCACAGTGTACCATAACCGTGGATGTCCTCCTCTTCCAAGCTGTTATTCCTGTTTTAGATAGAGTCCAGGCTAAATTCAGGTGGACAAAAGTTTTAGTCTTTAAAATTCAGTTAGTGACCAAATGAGAATTCTGATGTTGGAGTTCTAAATAGAAAATACCCCTCAGTATCAGTTTGTTTCATAATGTACTCAGATTTATTGAGGATATCTACTGAGAGGGTTTTTTTGCACTTAGGGTTTTCCTTTTTGTTGCCCACACAGGAGGAGTTCTCAAAAGAACCTGTTCCCTCACCAAACCTCTTATGATTCTTCACTGCGTGGTTCCTGGGAAGAACACAGTGGAAGAGAACAAAATTATCCTCTGGCCATTCCAATGGCCTCCATGAGACGTGGCTCTGAATACAGCGAAGGTTTACTGAGAATTAGTGTCCCAAGCAGAAGTCCACATGGAAATTCCATGGGTATGTCATTTCTCACACAAACAGCTTACAGAAACACTGCAACAAGTAATGGCTTTCTCTGTCCCGAGGGAGTCCTACAGCGCTGGAAAGATGAACTCTGTATATATTTGTATGTGGTGGCACTGGGCTTTTCAGCTTTTTTTTCCTAGAAGTAGGTCAGATGTTATATTAACAGATTCATGGACTGTTGTATTAGCAGATTGGTAAATACTTGTGTGGACTGTGTAGGTCCATGAGTACTAAGGAGTGAGTTTTGTTAATGGGATATATTGCTGTGTTTGCAGTAGAGCTGTGTGTGGTCAGTAGGGCTGATACTCTGTGTGTGTAAATTATCCATAGCCGTATACAATTTTCTGTCTAGTTCTGATTCCCTTACAGATAATTGTTCATTTGAGCCTGAGCCAGAACTAGCATACAGCCCAGCTTCTACCTTTCACCAGCTGGATCACCCCTATGCCCACAGAATTTCCAGTGGGTCAGAAGGTAAGACATAAGGAATGTGGTGCATCAAAATATTGCATGTCAGTCTTACTCTCCATAAAATAGTAAATATTTAAAAGCCTTCTGGTTCAGGTGTGAAGACCTTAATGTAATAAAAGGAATCATAAAACATAAATTCTCCTTTACTATCCTGTGTCACTGTAGCTGTTTTTTTCGATGTCTTTCTGAAGCTGATCTCTGTTTCTTGAGCAATGGAGGATATAGTACCTACCCATTTTAACTAAAACTCCCTATAAGTGGGGCAACGTAAACCAAACTTACGCAGTTATCTAAGGAGACTCATTGTAGGAGGAAACAAAGGGAGGATAGGATGCATTTTTGAGCCTGTCTATGGTGAACTTTTCACTATGTTGTCTCTGTAAATTCTCGACTATAGATTACTATAGAATTATAACATTAATTCAAGATTTAAATTCATTAAAATACAGGGGTTCTGGAATAGTGTAATCTGAGTTCTGTTTTAGGCCAGCATGGTAGTTTATTGTTTGTGTTCTGGGTAGGAAGTGTTCTTCCCATATTGTATAATTTTTTTTGTACAGTTAGTTTCTGTTACAATCACTCTGCTGTTTCTGGAATGTAATTAAGAGTTCTTTTGTGGAATTTTTACCAGGATGCATTGAAAGAATTGTCTCTCTCTGTCCACAAAGTGAGCAATTCTTGCTTTTTCTTCTGTTTTTTTATTTGTCTTTAAGAACGTGGTCTTTAAGTTAAGATCTGATTTGGCAAAATCCTGTATTTGTATTAAAAAGCAATGATTTTATTGGTACCAGGACATGCCTCACTCCATGCGTGACCGTAGGAATAGGATATATCCAAACAGTAACTATAATGCATGAGTTTTAATACCTGTTAGGAAGGAGAGAGTGCATTTCCAACACAGTCACCTGGAGGGTAAAGGTCTGGGTGCTGAAAGTTCAAGAAGTACCTCCACAAGGAGGCATGGATGTTTTTCTTTTTCTGATGCTTTTTAATTGCATTTGAATAACTGAATGAAAGAAGGTTGAGTGAATGGTTGCATTTTGGCCCCAGGGAGTTGGGAGTCTGATACATGTAACTTATTCAGCACGTTTGAGTGTGATTCTAAAACAATCCCTCTGAATCAGTGGAAGGATTTTTAAGGAAAGGACCTGTCTTCTAGGAAGAAAGTCTTGAATAATGAACGTGCATGTTTGTGAGTGGGTTAGGTGGCACAGGTTTCCATGATAGCTGGAGGCTGGGCTCAGTACCTCTTTCTCAGCATGTGTCTGAAAAATTGCATGCAGTCATCAAGCATGAACAGGAATTAAGTGAATGGGGGAGTATATGTTTGCATGTAGGTAGTGAGACTGAAGGATGGACTTTCAAGTTTTTTCTGTGAAAGTAAAATTTGAATTTCTTAAGTCACTTTGTCAGGAGTATCTGAGCTTACTAAACAGTGCATGTTCTTTAGATAGCTTTATTTGGAGACGCAACAGAAGACCACACGATGAGGTCTTTGTGACTTCTTCCAACCTGTTTGAAACAAATCCAGTGTGCAGAGAAGGTAAGAGTTAGATAATTGGTTCAGCATTAAATAGCATCTTGCACAAGGATGGTGTGGTTGATACTGTTCTTGGTTTATCATCAGAATTACACACTAAGTTTCGGTACTAACATCAACTAAAATTAAAGAATAAATAAAACAAAGTCAATAGTTAGCATCATAGAAATGTACTCTTAAACAGCAATCAAGCAATAGACCAGAATGTTGGCATTTGCCTGTGTTTTGGTTTTGGTTGTTTTTTTTTTTTATATTGCATCTCTTTGTATTAACATTAAATGAGCATCAGACAAGTGATACTTATTTTTTAACATTCAGTATTTTACTACTTATGTACATTTGTATTAGAACACTGATGGAACTGAGGATGTTCTGTGGAGTATTATTAAGTCTAAGAACTTTCCTCACCTTGGTAGCACTGAAAATGGGGAATGTTGTTGTATCCATTTTGGATTTTGTATAAGAATTACTGTATTATCACAAAATTTGGATTTTTCATGTTTTATGCAGAGGAGAAGTTAGTTGGAAATCTTGCAAATATGTCCACTAGTGAAAGGATTAAAGCAATCCAGAAGATGACAGAGACCATGAAAAAAAAGAGAGAGATCAGGTAAAAAGAAAAGTTTATCTGCTTCATTTTACAAACACTGTACTTTCAACATCTAGCTGTCAAGTATGGGTGTTTACCATCAGCTCAGCTTTGGTTTGTCTCTTGGGAAGAAGGGAAAATGGTTTAAAGATGGTTCATTGTCCTTTCCCTGGATGAAAAGAATCTGTCATGGTAATATAAAACAGAATACCAAGGCCTTGAGATTTGATTATGAATGATGACTTGTAGTTTCTTTTCTAAGGAAACTTGGATGTTTGCCATTGAAAATGGAGAAGAGACCACGTGGTCTTAATCTCCTTCTGTCTCCTCACAGAATATATTTAAATTTTGTCCCTAGAGTGAGTTAGTGGAGGAGTTAGAAAATGCTGTCATAGCATGGACAAGAGCCATGCTATCAACTAATAGAAAAAGAACCAGCACAACATCTCCATGTTTTGTTAACTCTGTTCATGTGCTCATGTTAAACTGTATTTGCAGCAGCTTCTTTGGCTCCTGGTTTAATTACAACCCATACTGTATTGCTCGTCACCCATTGCCCTGCTCTTCCACAGGAATAAAGTTCTTACAGAAGTAACAAAAAAATCAAGACACAGCAGTAGGCAGCTTTCCTGCTGTACACAGTGTCTGCAGGGAACAGTAATGGTAAGTGTCAGAAAATTGTCAGTCACAGTAAACCACTTTAGCTGCATTGTTGCTGTCTACAGAGGTAACTGGTATCTTGCTTTACGTTACTTACCAAACAACTAATTAATTCCTGCAGTGTTCATTAATAATGACTTGCAATTTGGTAGCACTTAGGAACACCAGTTAAGCATCTTATGGTGCATGTAGTGGGGGAGATCAGTTCTTATGATTAAAATGGAATTGTAAAGAATATGTGGCTTTCTGATGTGAATTTGAGTCCTATTTAAGCCTGCTTGCTGAGATTCATCTCTCCTCTCCTGCACTTTAGTCATTTCGGCGGTTTGGAAGTAGCTTGTCAGAACATTTTCACCAACTGCATGCATGGCACAAGACTCTGAAGATCATTGGTGCTGAGTTTGGAACAAGTGTTCTCTCTTATTTTATTTTCTTGAAGTGGCTGATAACTTTAAATGTCTTCTCATTCCTCATAAACTTCAGTTTCATCACAGTCCCTCAGTTTGTTGCAGCAGAACGAAATAACCTTTCATTCATGGGTCTGGAGCTGTTCACTGGAGCTGTAAGTGTGTAACAACATATTTGTATTAGTATTGTGTGCAACAGGTCTACTTTAAAAACACACAATAGAGTAAGAAGTATTTTGTATTAAGAGGTGGAGTTAGAATTTTTTGTGATAAGAAACAATATTTAGTACATATTTGAAAAAGAAGCTGCAACAAACATTGATGCAGAATGAGATGAGTAGCTCTCATTCTGATGCACTTGTCTCACTGCAGATGCTTGGTGTGTTCAGCAGTATTTCAGGCCTTTCATCACCCTGTCGACAGCGTTGGTAGAGACACAAAGGAAGCCACACCTTAACTACAATAGTCTTCAGCAGAACATTTTTCCAATGCTAATTTTAGTGTGAAAATACAGTGCAGATTTCCATGTGATCCTGTAAATTTTGCTGATTTCCAAAGCTTTATTCATCCAAGGAGCACACAGATCTTTCTGTGGCAAACTGCTGCACTCAGTGGGGCCTGGGAGCAGGAGGATCTTTTAATTGCATGGACTTATTTCACTCAAGGAGTAAAAGTCCCAGGTTGTATTTTAGGAAAAGATTTTGCATTGCTATTACACTACCAGTATTCAGCTAAGTGATCTGGAAAGCTCAACTGAGAAAAGATCTTTTAAAGAGGAAAGGTGTCAGCCTTTTCCTTCTAAAATTGTTTTGGAAGTGCTGTGTTTTGTAGTAACACTGTTTAACTTTGCAAAGTACAATCACCATTGCAGGATTTCAGCTATAATGTAGTAACTCTAGTGTTGAATGTCACATGCTTCCTTCCTGATTCCTTCATAGCTGATATAATTTGTTAGCATAGCACCTTGTTCCTAAGAAGGAAGTAATTAAGCCTGTCCTTCTTGAGGAATTTTCAGAAAAGACCAAATCCTGTAAAGGTGCTGAATGCTTATGACTATCACACATGAATCTTAAGAAGTATACAAGTAATTTATATATCTCTAAAGGCTCTCAAAACTACGGAAGGCTTTAGCTGATAGATGGAAAACAGAGGCCCTGATACTTAAAAATTTAGTCACTCCTGTGTTTTCACAGTAGGGACTGGGACAGCTCTCACTTCCATTAATTTATTTTCAGATGGTACTTCCCACCATATGCAGGTGATATCAAACATTATCGACATCCATATCTTTTCAGGGCTACTTTCAGCAAACAGTACTCTACTATGGCTTTTACACCAATGCTACAATCAGTAAAATAGAGGATGGTCCATCTTACAACATGCAGCTGGCCTATATTTTCACTGTTGGAGTATATTTTGTCATCTGTTTTCTTATCTTGTTGTTCAGGTAAGCTGACTATATTTTCTTGTTTCACTTATATTACGGAAAAAAAAGCAAACCACCACCAAAGCAGCAACAACAACAAAACCCCACCCTGTCAATGGTTGGCAGTAACAATTACCTGAGTAGGTTTCCCTAAGTCCTTATTTACAGGTCTAGAGTTTAACTAGAAAAGACAGTCTCCAGAAATCAAACCTTTACTAGACAAATGGAGAATAACTACAAAATAGTAAGGGATGTGCAGACAATCCCAGCTCAAACCAGTGAATATCACAGTCCCCCTGTTGTAAGCTGTTGCTCCTGAAATGTTGGTATTGATGTGGCCTTCCAGAGGGAAAGATTGTTCAGCAACAACTAGAAGAAGGAAATGTGAGAGTTGTTTCTTAATTCAAATTTATCTTTCATGTTTTCTTACGTGACGTGCTCTGACATCGGTCCGGTAGCCTTGGGATGGGATAGAAAAACTGACAAGTCTCTCTTCTCATTCTGCTGTACAGACTTTATCTTTTTTCCCTGTTACGTGTCTCACAAATTTAATTTTCAATGCAGCATGGCAAAATCCTTCTGCAGGAACTTTATTAGCCCTCAGAGATACTCTGGAAATGCTAGCAAACTTCTCTGCACTTGGGACTTCAATATGACTAATGAAAAAGCCGTGAAGCTGAAACAAAAGAATCTCAGCACACAAATAAAGGTACAAAGCACAGGAGGCACAATAAGGTAGAAAGGTACAAAACCAGCATTCACGAGTCATTCTGCCAGAGACTTACTTGGGCATACAAAAATACTTGGGCAGAGTGACTGAAGCATGCTGTTCCTGCTCCTAATAGACTTAAGTCTTCCTGACTGTTAAGTTTCATTTGGTTTCAACTCCCGGAGCAGACTTAGCTACTTGGTTTTTCTTGTCTCTTTAAGCTACATACAAATATCTGTATGCTTCTGTACTATGGAATGTGTCTTTGTGACTACTAAATATTTGCCAAACAGAATATTTATTCTGTTTTCCTTTCCTGCTATTTAACTATTTTGTAAACAAAAGGCAGGTCTGTAATATTGTCTATGAAATACAGTGTAACTGCCAAAGAGATAAGACTTTTAGGGTAGGAACACAAAGTAGTCTGGTAGATGTTCCCAGGTTATCACTGCCTGTCTTCTAGAGAAATAATCATCCATTCAGTCTCTCAAATAGTTACTTCAAACAAGTTTTATTTTATGCTCTTGACTAAAGAATCTTCAGTAGGCATTGTTTCTTTACAGGAAGACCTCACTGCTGTAAACCAAGAAGTTCTAAATTTTTCTGTACAAGAGAGAATTGTTCATATTGTTATTCATTTTGTTTCTTGGATTGCTTCCCTGGGAACAGCAGTAGCTGCTTGTGCTGGTGTTTACTTCCTCTCCATTAATAACCTAAAGGTAAGGACAGATTTTGCAGTCTCTTTTTAGAGATGCATTTTTCCATGTGGGTATCTTGCACTGAGTGAACTAGTTCTGTTCACTACTAGGACCGTGGGGAAGCACAGCTGATGTTTTTGCCAGTGCAAACACAAACTCATCCATACCTAAAAAGCTAGTTTGCAAAGGCTCACACCACTGGGGACTATGGCAAGAGTGTAGAACCTGAGAGGTCTGAGCAGTTCTCCCCCTTCAGCCCTTTCCTTTGCCTAGGAGCTGGACTTAAGTTGGGGCTCCCACTGTTGGTCCCATGTAATGCAGGGGAAGGGGAGGGGGTCAGTGTGGTGCTGGACATGGGTCCACAGAGCATGATAGTCTCTTACTTAAGAGCATACGGGGAGGTGTGCCAGGTGTCTCCCCTGTGGACACAGCTTGAGGCAGCGTTTTGGTTAAGGCTCCAAGCTGGGGTTATTTGGTTGTAGTTTTTTGTTTGTTTCTCCTCTCCAAGCTGTTTGTGAAAGAACATAAAAATGACTTAGAGAGCCAAGCTGCCATGTTGGTGCTACCTGTTGTCGCATCTTTCCTCAATGCATTCATGCCATTCTTCTACTCCTGGCTTGGACACCTGGAGGGATTTCAGACTCCTGGGCAACAGATATATGTCACTATTACCAGGTATTTGTTGCTACTACCCCTTAGTGCTTTTTGCCTGAAGTTGTCTGACTCTATGACAATGTTGTGGTTTAAGCCTACCAAACTGGCAACTCAACACCACAGAGCTGCACACTCACTCTTACCTTGCCCTGCCCCTCAGTGGGATGGGGAGGAGAAAATTAAACATAAAGCTTGAGGGCTGGCACTGTATCCAAGCTCTGAGGAGAGCTCCTGTTAGATCTGACAGTCTGCAGTGCTATTCTTATTGTAAGAGGAGGTAACAGAGTGTAACCAACGGTCATCCTGCCATCACTCCCTCCAGTGACCTTATGGACCAGCTGTCAGTGCCGTTACTGTTACTTTTTTGTTTTAGAAATATCATCCTGAAAATATCCATTGTTGGAATACTGTGCTACTACTGGCTTAACATTGTGGCTGCATCAGAGTCACAGGTAAAGTTTCAAAAATACAGCTCTTTGACTTACAATGCCAGATTAGGGAACACTTTGATAAGAAGGCTGCTGCAGCAAACAGAAGTACATATAGTGCCTTGGAAAGCTGAATTTACCATCCCAAGATTTTTTTATTAACATCCTTAGAGAAACGAACTGTAGGAAAAAATGAATTGCCTAGCTCAGGTCTCGGCTCGTTTGCAGCATTGTTCAGTGAGAGGTCAACTGTCATTAGTCAGAGTGCTAGCAAATCTTTGATCTGTAGCCCAAGTTTCAGATGCCCAAGCATTTAAAATGATTTTAGAATCACATGATTCTTGACACTTTTTTTTTTTCTTCTTCTACTTAAAGTGCTGGGAAACTCTGGTTGGCCAAGATATCTATCGCCTCCTTGTAGTTGACTTCATATTTTGTTTGTTTGGTTCTTTCTTTGGAGAGTTTTTACGAAGGTGAGTACTACTTTACTAATCTTGCTTATATTAGTTAACCAAAGATCACCAAAGATGGTCTTTTTTTCCAGTGTGAGAAAAGAAGTCCAACAGAAGTGTGGCTGCAGCACCACTGGAACTTCCTTGGTTGTCTCTACCAGGCATAGACTTTGGGTACATACCTTGTGTATATTGTAGCTCCTTCTTTGGAGGAGGTCAGAGTGTGTAACATTCTGCTGTCCCAATTTGTCCTTTTTAACTCTGAAGGTGGAAACACAGGCAGGGAGGAGGAGGCCATGTTGCACTCCCATGGATCTCTCTTGAATGGGGTGACAAGGAACCAAGTGTCTCAAGCAGAAAATCTTGCTTTTCTGCATATGCACAGGCACACTGATGGCTTTCCTTGGTATGTCCCCCTGTAATTTTTTTTCCTTTTAATTATGTCACTTTACAGAGTGCACACAAATTTAAAATCTTATTTAATCAGTCTTATTAAGGCTGTGATATGACTCCTAAGTGTAGAGTTCTGCAGTGTTGTAAGTGAGAAAAAATATTTGTAACTGAACATGAATACAACTAAGCAGGTAAGCAAAATGTCATTTACTTCTGACGTCTGCTGCATGTACCTTTTTATTGCCACACACTATTTATGACTGGAGTTAATAGGGTATTTAAGTGCTTGCCAGCTCTTCAGAGCATTTTAGGTTCCTGGCCATACTTTTGTAGGAGATTCATTGTTTGCCCTTTGCATGTGATGTGAACAGGACTGGTTTACAAGGTAGGACTTTGTTAACTTCATGTTAAATTAACACAAAACAACAGTGCAAAGCCCTTGGAAGACTTTCCCTCTGCAGCTCTTGCCTGTGTACTTTAATCCTCCTGTTCTCATCCTGTTCAGAGAGGAAAACACCTCTCAGCAAAAGGTCACAGTACCAAAACTGCAGTGTCAACTGTGATGAATGTCCTTCACTAAGTTATGCAAAAGCACCAGACCTACAAAGATTAGAAGTACAATTACTTGTATTTATTTGTGTGTATTCAGAGTAACGACCTGAAAGCCCAACCCTGAAACACTGCTGATGATGCAGCTGATAAGGTGGTACTAGGACCTGTATTTGAGGCGGGATGGGATAGTTATAAAAATCTTTATTGTTCTTACTAAACAAGCAGGAAAGGGACTGTTGATCCTCAGTAGGAATCCTCTGAGTTGTTGCTTGCCTGTCTGTGCCTGGGCTACTTGCAACTTCAGCTAGTGTGAAGTAGGATATACTTTAGGATATATTATCAGTCTACAAGATGCAGATTTTTGATTTAGGCTGAAAATTCTCAGGACCCAGGAACTGAAAAGCTGCTACAGTTTTGTACAAATCCTTTTTTTTTTTTTTCTTGAGTTGCATGAAAAATATCTTAGGTCTTACTTCAACTCTTCTGTCTGTTGCTTTCTAATCAACAAGCTATGGCTGTTTTGCACAACGTGGTTAATGAAGTTGCTGAATAATTTGTCATCGAAGCTTGTAGTCAGGAAGTTATTTGTAGGGATTTCTACAAAGGCTTTTATTATTTAGCAAACTGTATTGTGTGGGCTTTTTTTTCCCCTCAGAATTATTGGAACTACAGTCTGTGTCAGCATGGGGCTGCCAGAGTTTAATATCGGGCAAAATGTTTTAGATTTGATCTACGCGCAGACGTTGACCTGGTAAGCATTATACTTACAGCCAAAACTTCATCTGCACTTAGAAATACCATGCAACATAACATTCTTATTCTGACAGTTCTGGGTGCTTCCCATCAGAGGGTAAAAGAACAGGTTATACACCTGAGAGAGATGACATAGAAAGTACCTTTCTAAGGACTGTGAGCTGCCAGTTCCCTTTGTAATTGCACAGGTAATAACAACAACCTTAGTCAGTAGTTTACTCCATGATCTGGGAGAAACCTGCAACAGGAACATCCTAGAGTTTTGTTTACTTTCCTGCTGGAATGATGTTCCAGCTGAAGGAGTCTCAGTATGAAATCTGGAAAAGATGCCTTATTTCTAAGAATGAGTATCTTATTCAAATTATAAGATAATTTTTTAGTTGTCTACATAGATATGTATGTAAGCATATTTTTAAAGATCGACTTACTGTTTCAGGATCAATGTTAATATAATTACATTTCCAAATAACCATGTATATGTAGTTAGTGTGGTGTTTTCTGCTTTCAGTGCACTGAGAGCTATGTGGTGAATAGTGAAGATTTAAATTTTCTTGTGTAAACCCTTTCTTGTAGGATCGGTATCCTCTTCTCACCTCTGCTGCCTGGTATCCAGACACTATCATTTTCTATAGTATTTTATGTGAAAAAGGTAACAGAGTGTACATGTATTAATCATATACTTACACTGTTCAAAATCTGGGCAGATTTTTTTGTTTTAAAGTGCTGGTATTGTCTGGAGGCAGTGGGATTTTGTGTTTAGGGGAGCAGTTTGGTCGATGGGTTTTGGAGGGAGCATGAGCTTTAAAGGAGCACAATTTGTATGCACACCCTTGAATATCAAATCTGTGAAACTTGGGGGGGGGAAGGGAAGTGTGGAAGGGTTATAGGAGGGGTTAAGACCACAGCGGGGGGAGTGAATAAAGTAGTAACATTGAAGACTGGAGAATTAACAGTGTACAGGTGCATACATCAATAGAGGCTCTCAGCTTGTGGCTGTGACTTTGGCTTCCCACATACTCCCCAGCAACACCCCCCCAACTTTATCAAAGTATAAGCAGGGTGATTCAGCTAAACGTCATGGGGGAAAATTCTTTTCAGAATTCTTTGTCTCAGCACTATGACTGGATAATTGTTTGTTGGGTCACTGAACAGTTTGTAGTATTGAATATAGAACAAAGCTATAGCTAGAAAGATTGATTCAAATTTCCCTGAACAGTGGGTTTTTATATGCAAATGCTATCCAACAGAGTGCTGAAGAACCCACCAACCTCATTTTGCCTCCTTCTCTTTAAAGACTATATTCTTGATTTTTTCTAAAACTACAGTATATCTATCAAATTCATATAAAAGAAGTTATTGGAAACTTTTGATAGCTGCTATACCAGCAGTTGCCAACAGCAGTTTCAGAGATTGCAATTTCAGAGCTTTAGATTGACTTAAGTGAGTTGAAGTGGCAGGTGACACCATTCTGAGTCAGTGTACCTTCATGTCCTTAAAGGTCAGTCTGATGATGAATTGCCAACCCCCTCGCAAAATCTGGAGAACTGCTCAAATGACAACATCCTTCATGTTCCTGCTGTTTTTCCCTTCCTTCCTTGGAGTCCTGACTGTCATTGGAGTCACTGTCTTTAGGTATGGAAGATCTCTGGTATTCAAGCTTACTACATTATGCTGTGTGACCTGATAGCAGGCAGAAGAATCTGCATTTTTCTCTAGAAAAAGATACATTAATTGCTAATGGAAGGTTTCAGGTGTTCATGAGGTGTTCTGTATGCTGAAAACAAGATAGTCTCAGTGAGTTTGCAAGAATATGGTTAATGCAGTAACTTGTCCCATAAGAAAGTGAAGAAAGTGGGAGGAGAAACAAAGTTACTTTGAAGTTATGGGTTCCCATTTAAATGACACAGCAGATTTGGCTTTTCCTTCTTAAAAGTTTCTGCGACGGAGTGTTAGTTCCTGGCCGTTTCTATGCCATGGGCCATACTGGGTCAGCAGTGGAGAAACACCTGCTAAAACTCAATGGAGCTCCACTTTTGGATTATTTACAAATTTCAGAGACGCTTTTTGCAGGAGTGCTGACCTCTGCAATAATGCAGCTGGGTTGTTACCAGTATTTTAAAGCTGCTTTGTTTCTGGGTGTGCTGCTGTGGTCACAGGAATGAGGGCAGCATGGATATCCCTTTTCTTCTTCTTGGCAGTTCAGCCGCATAATTTCAATATTTAGTAAGACAAGTGGCTACCCATGAAACCAGGTGGGATGAAATATTTCAGAGCAAACATTTCCAGCTGGCAAGCGGGACTGTCTGCAGTGGTTCAATTTCAAATCAAACAACACTTTCCTATTCCAGTCTACCTGGAAATGTTAATTCTTGCTATGGGCTGCCTTACTTCAGCACTTCCTGTTGGTACTGACGAGCTGTACTGACTCATCCTCGAAGGCAAGGTGGAGTCATGGTTCCTCTAAGCACCTGTGGTGAAACTTTGAAAAGACAGATTTTCAGTTTGCTGTACCTTGTGCTACAGTGGTTGACTTCTTACGTTTTAGATCAAAATTTTGTTTACAGGGCGTGGTACTGATCCATTGTGGTGAGGTCTCTTCCCTCTCACTGCATAGTCTGGGATGGACATTTTAAAGGCTGGAAAGTGACCCAAGTGAAAAATCAAACATAGATCATGGAAGTTCCCTGAGGATCCAAAGAGAGTAGAGAGCTACATCAAACTAATAAGCATCCTGATGTACAAAATTACTAAATTAAATTGTAAGTGATTAACAAGTAAATCACTGGTTAATATATGAAGCTCTAAGTTGCTGTTTTCTCACACTTTCAGGTTAAAACCTTCAGAAGAATGTGGTCCTTTCAGAGGTTTGTCTTCTATGTATGCTGCAGTCTCTGAGTGGGTAAAAATATTGGAAAATTACACTGCCTCAAAATGGGTAGTGTGGATCTACCATAACTTAATTACAAGTGAACTTTTCTTCTTCGTCCTCTCCACTCTTGTCCTGTAAGTACCTGCTAATGAAAAGCACTGGAAAAGGATCTGAAGTGGAAAAACATGATGATGACATAGCCATTCTTAATTTTAAAAAAATTACAAAATGCATTTTAAAGCATCAAAAATTATTAATGTATTGGAAATTCATGTATTTGAAGTACATAAAACATGTTCCTTTTATGTTAGGATGACAAAGCTCTTTACAAACCAGCTTCATGCTCACCCTAGCATTACACTGCTTTTAACTGAATTTTAATGTTTCTAGTTTACTGATGCCTGGGCTCCATATCTTAGTACCACTGCCACACTTAGTTTCAGAAGCATCAACAAAAAGGAACATGCTGCATCCAGTTGGCAGGATAGATTGCTTTTTTCCTTTTCTCATCTTCCCCAGAGGTGGATGAATCAGTAAGGAAAGAGCAAGCTTTCACAAGCACAGGCAGTACTGGCCAGATGTATACTAGGACCCTGAGCAACATAAAAAGCAGAAGTTTGGGAGGTGGTTGCTTTGTCTGCTTTGACTATTTCTCATTAGTGGAGCTGTTAGAGGAAGTGATAGCATGTGAAGAATGACTGAGCTACACAGGGACACATCGGTGGAAGGGTATGGTGGTGCACAAGCAAGGTGTTTAAGTGTTGGTAGTAGGTTAGTCTGCCTCCAGCCGATCTGGGGCTATTTCACACATGCTGTCCCCTTGGTTCAAGTAAATTATTTTAGCAAAATGAGGTATATTAAGCTATGTGCCCACTGGTAGGGTTTGAGGTTGTAGCTGTACTGCTTGATACTTCTGGCATGTGCCACACATGCACTTAAGAGGCCAAACCTGTTTTCATAAAGCAAGTTCCCAATCATACTAGTGGGATCAGGACTGACCTGGAAGCAGTAGGTGTTCAGTGTTGTGCTCTAAGCTCCATGGTGGTGTCTAAGCAAATGACGCAAAGTTGGATAAGAACGTTGGGTTGCTATTTGTTCCCCAAATTGCCCTCTGTATTGCTGACTGACTTTAATTGTACCTCTCACCTCGAATACGAGTACCTGAATCTTTGGGTCTTTTGCACAAGAATGTCTTAAGCAATTTCATGTGTTTGCCATTCCTTGTGTAATGGTGTATATCCGATTTTTATATGTGTGTGTGTATATATGCATGTGTAGATTTGTGTATATGTATCTTTCAATGGATAAAACAAACAAGAGAACTTTCTGTTTAGGAAGTGACTAGGAGGAAATACTCATGGGTTTGAGTGCTCATCTCTTGCACTTTTTTTGTTGTTGTTCAGAATTATTACTTATATCTACTGGCAAATAGTAGAAGGAAGAAGGGCCATGACCAAACTCTTACATAAGCAAATTATTTATGTAAGTCTGACTTTTAACTTTTATCTTTTTTACAATTTGACTTCCTTGTTGATTGCTCATCCTGCTATTGTAGAGCTGTAATCTGTTTTTCCCATGACAGTTCCAGGGAGGGTGGGAGTCCTCCCCCGTGTGACTTTCAGGGAAACTTAACTCACAAAGGGAGTTGTTGCAAAATAATTTTACCCTCAAGCTGTGCTGCTGCAGCTGTCTCTGTAGGCAGATAATTTCACGGGGAAAAAAAAAAAAGAATTTTAATGATTATTGTGGTTGATGATTACTCACAGGCCTTGAGTCTCTTAAGAATGATTAGTCCATTTCAGCTAATGATCAAATGTGTCTTGACCATAGGTAGGAAAAGATAAAATATTTTTACGTGACAAACTACGAGCACTGGAAAGGGCAAAGCAAAATATGTCTGTGCCACGAGGACAAGACCAGCAGGTCAGTTTGTTTGGATATTGATGTTTCAGTTCTGTGCTTGGTACCATTTCATGGGGTTCCTAAAGCCTTGCAAGTAGGCTGCCATTTTGG